ATATGGGGGGGGGGGGGGGAGGGTGTGCAAATCGAAAGTTTGTGCGGGGGTGGAAGTGCTAATCGAAAGGTTGATCCCGAGGGGGGGGGGGCGCCAAAATGAAAGGTCGCTACGCCTCAAGTCTGTCTAATGAGCGATAGTTTGATCTAGTATTTATCGTATAATAGAGAGAGAGATGCAGTGAAGATATTTAATGATTTAAATATATTTTGAACACGTTTTGATTAAAAAATAAAATGGTTTTAACCTGACACATAACCTTGCTTTTGTGTTAATATAAGAAGAGGACATTACTTTGCATTGTCAGCTATTTCCAGAGACGAACATTATTAATTAAGGCGCCGGTTTGTTCATAATTGCACCCCGATGCCCCACTGTGTGCAGCATGAAAACCTATGTTGATCACCCCACACCATAATGACGAACCATTTCTAAAAGTTTTTTTCTGAAAAAACAAAACAGATATGATATTCTGACCTTTATTTTAAATAGCGAGACAACTGACGGTCTCTTGTTCTGTCGTATACGCTGTAGTTTGACGTAATTGAATACATCAAATAACACGGATAGAATCATATGACTGGTCAGGATCATGTTACAGTTACGTTTTTTTTTTTGACCTTTATGGGCTCGACTTGCCGAGATTTGGTGAAGCGTATCCAAAAAGATCCGAGTTGTTGTTCTTTTTGAATAGAGTTATTTCCCCGGGAATTGCTTCTGGGTGACGTTCTTGCCATTCATATTTCTTGTTAAGAAACAACTCCTAAATGAAGAAAATTACAAAAAATGCTCCTCGGAAAATTGAAAAATCGCAATGATTATAGTTCCATTAGTATCCGTACATCCCCCCCTCCCCAACTACGGAGTTTTCATTACATGAAAACATAAACACTAGTTAAAAGTGTTGCCTCAGATTCACAATGTACTGCTCGTCCACAAAAAATATATAAGGGAGCTGATTTTTTTTTCTTTCCTAGGTGGTGGGGAGGCTTCTTTCTAGTTCAGCCACCACAATAGTTGTGAAAAGTAGTTTGCTAATATATTAGCATCCGTTTTGAATAGAGTTGTTTATTAAAAGGATGAAAGGTGGGGATGACATTACCCTTTCATGAGTGATGCGCCCTATTTTGGGGTTGAGGATGATTACAATATATTTTTTTACGTAAATATTTTCTCTTTTGAACCAGTTTGGGGGGGGGGGGGTATTTAGTTGTTGTAATAGAAAGAAAAGCCACCCCCGCCTCATATATATATATATATATATATATATATATATATATATATATATATATATATATATATAAGTATATATATATATATATATATATATATATATATATATATATATATATATATATATATATATATATATATACATATACATATATATAAGAACATCTACCACCCGCAATCCCCCATCCCGAACAAAATATAATCTTTTGTCAATGTTAGCCTCCCCCCCCCCCGGAGAATATATCCGCCTCTAACCCCCGCCCCCAGTAAAAAAATATCTGTATGATTGATGTTTAGTGGACAAAGTAGAAAACGGGTCTAGATTATAGGAGTAGGGTCTACTATTAGTCTGTATGATCTACAAACGCGACCTGTGTTTCTTTCAGACATGTGATCTCCGATGGGTGGTTATTATTCCGGGAGGGGGTGGACTAAATTTTCTTGGGAGGGCGTGGGCGGTCGCTGGTAAAATTATATTCACTATATAAACTCTATTCCGTCATAGCGGGCGGTAGACTTGCTTCGGGGATAGGGGGGCTAGGCCAATAAAAAACTATTTTTATTATCCCCTAGCCCCCTTCCCCCTCTGCCTACGATATTAAGTTCAGCACCTGGGGATATATAATAATCAATGTAAAGTATATTATCCGGTTCAAACTTGATTCCTCGTAACGTATTAATTATGTGTGTATATTTCAAACATAGTTTACGAACATATTAATCAAAGAAGATCATTGTTTCAACGACTCCCTGCTACGTGTATTATCCCGACAAGCGCTTGATGAACAAGTTACACATGAATTCACACTGGACCTAAATATTTCATATGCACGGCTTAAGACACCTTGCAATGAGTGCCTCGACAGCAAGACAGAAATAATAATGAGCACAGAAAGAACGTCGTGGAAATTTCAACAGACACAGCGTTGTATGCTACAAAAAAGTAGTGTTGTGGGGGAAAAATAAAACGAAATGTAGTTAGGTTGATCATTTTAATAGTTAGAGAAAAATTATTGAATAAGGTTTCTGGTGTTTTAAAGAATTTTAAAGAATATTTCATCTCTAGCTACAAGGTAAGGCTATAAGTGAAACACATTCACACTATATATATATATATATATATATATATATATATATATATATATATATATGTATATATATATATATATATATATATATATATATATATATATATATATATATATATATATATATATTGTTTTATTTTTTTTCCCAAAATCTTTGTCACCAAATTAAAGTTTGTTAGTAAATTTCCCTATAAAAATCTGATTGTCCTCGGCTAATGGTGGGATGGCGTGGTCAGCACGTTGCACAGCTGCATCTACTTTACCTAATGTACGTCCGGGCATTTATCAGAGCTGAATTAATTCGTTAAGGCACGTTCTAGGAACTTGATCTTGGATTCGAATTCGAACTTGATACTTTTTGGTTAGCAGTCGTATGTTCAACCTTTTCACCCACTGTCCCATACTGTTGGTACAGTGACGTGTACAATATTTAGCAATGGTAATTTAATTTTTAACCTTAAATATTCATACGAATAGCATTGTGCTGCTTGTAAAGTGTTCATTTGTGTTTGTTAAAAGGTGTATACAAATTGTAATCTAACGCTTTCAGCTTTCGAAAAGTGACTATAATGGTTTTTTTTTGGTACTGGTGTTTAAATAAATATGTATACAATTATTTTTCCTTGCAGTGGACATCAACATGGCAAGGTGGGTCTTAAGGTACACGACACCTCAGAAACGTAAACCACTAAGCCAGTACTTATTTCTAATTATCGTCAGCGGTGTCATTACATTTTTTACAATAACATATTCGGCACCTAAAATACACAACGGCATTCGACCGTTGTCTTTGCTCAAAACTGACCCCACAGTTAATAATACACAGTGTTCTAATGCAAGTATGTTTATAAAAAGTAAAGATTTTCAACAAGCAATTCAATGTATACTTTTGAATGAAGATAAGCGCAATGACTTAGATTCATTGAAAAATATTCCGAACAATAATTATAAACTTGACAATGAAAATCGTAAGGGTAACGTACCTACAAATACATTTACAAATATTTCACGTTGTTCTAATGAAGGCTTATGTGACACACGTTCGCTCAACATTTTAGCCAGACAATGGAAAGTTAACCAAGCAAATTGTAAAGCTATATTTACTGGTAACAAGACCAACATAGACGAAGGAATTCGTCAAGCAAATGAAACAAAACATCCCCTTTTATCCAACAGTTTTTATTTAAATTTAACTGAAAATTGTGACTTATTTAAACTCACTCGTGGTTACGTCACTTGCTTAATGACGCAAGAAGAACAGGAATTTTCGATTGCGTTTTCAATTTTAGTTTTCAAAGACATAGAAATGGTTGAGAGATTACTCCGTGCTATTTATAGACCACAGAACTATTACTGTATTCACGTAGATGCTAAAGCAGACAAAGAATTTTTCCTCGCCGTATCTGCTATAGCGCAATGTTTCACTAATGTTTTCTTGACGGCTGAACGAGTGGACGTCCAGTGGGGACAATTCAGTGTACTGGAACCGGAACTAATTTGCATGAAACAGCTGTGGAGATATACAAAATGGAAGTACTTTATCAACCTAACTGGACAAGAGTTTCCATTGAAGACAAACGCTCAGCTGGTGAAAATTTTAAAAGCTTTCAACGGTGCCAACGATATAGAAGGTGTAATTAAAAGGTAAACAACGGTATCAATTATAACTCTTAATGTATTATTTAAAATACAGTAAGACGATGAAATAGAGATTTTGTTGAAAATTAATGTCAGATGCGTCTATACATTCGCCACTCATGTTTAAAAACTCGAAAAACACATTTGGGGCAAATTTGAGATAGGCATAATCAGTAAAATCTGCAAAGGTTAAGAATTAAATGTAGTGGCCTCTTCAATAATAGATTTAAACAAAATAAAAAGTGTACGAAACTTGAAATAACCAGGTTATTAATAAAGGAAGTTACTTATCCAAATTAATGACTGACTATTGTACTTATAAAAACAATGGCATTGGTGGACTTAAAAAAAATTATTCATTAGTCCTTTATTTTGGGAACTTTTATGTCATTTATGTAATACTCTTACAGTGCCACTGTGTTATAGATATATAGACTACTATGCTAACTAGCAATATAAATGGCATTAATTTAGATTGATTTAATTGTTTATTTCTACCATGACCAGAGCTAATTTAGACAGATGGCCAACGCATCCACCGAGAGGATTAAGGCCAGTAAAAGGAGCAGTTCACGTTATCGTCAACAGGTTGTGTTCTGTTATTTTAATAAACTACATTTAGATCTTATTTAAAATAGTATGTAAAAACGTGATATTTGCTTTCTGTCTACAACTGTGGCTTTAGAGATTTGAATCATTACACTTAATATTTTCATCAACGATCATTAGGTAAATGAAGTGGAGTTCTTATGTATATTTACATTTTAAATAACAAAACTCAAGTACCCATCAATGTTTGATGGACTCGTAATTCTGAGATCCAAACTCGACGTATTCGGGTTAGACCGCCAAACTGCAATGCATGTAGACTGGCAAAACTGAAGAGTGATTTGAATTTAATTATTGCTTTTATTTTTGGTATTGAAAATCTATAATATATTTTAAAAAATTTGTTTCTACGGCGTCGGTTGTCAGGTAATTTTTAACGATAAACGTTACAAAAGCACTTTTGCTCAATAACTTCTACTTTTTTCATTGACTTGAATGCCAGACAATTTGTTGACTACAGCCTACACAACGATACATTTCCTAAAATTGTATGTTTTATATTAATTTTTCCATGATGTCGGTCCACAGAGATTTCGTTAACTACATCCTACACAACGACACAGCCAAAGATCTACTGGAGTGGGTCAAACGAACGGGAGTTCCCGATGAAACGTTTTTCGCCACATTAAACCACAATCCACAACTTGGGATACGCGGCAGCTACAAAGGTAATTCAGATAGTCTAAATTGTGAAGTCATACCCGTTCATCATTTGTGTATAATGTGTATACGCCAATTGTTATTCTTGAATATTATTGTTATTTATCAAAGAAATAAATCAAATTATGGTGGTATTTTAAAAATTGCAACACAGTGGTATAACACGATAGTAATTAATATACAAGACTCACATTGTTTACTATTGCAGGTGATCCTGAAACTGATGAAGTCACTAAACCGTTCAATGCCAGGTTTAAAAACTGGGGTGGCACAATTCCATGTGCTGGGCGTTTCGTTAGGGGCATTTGCATACTCACAACAGGTAATAAATCTGATAGCAGTTAATTAGTACTAATTAGTCCTTTCAACAGGTGATAAAAATGTCATAGTTTTTTGCGTATATTTTCCACATATAATATATATATATATATATATATATATATATATATATATATATATATATATATATATATATATATATATATATATATATATATATATATATATATATATATATATATATGTGATTTAGTTATGTGTGTTTCTATTCGATGTATTTTTCCTGTTACAGTTATAATAATTTCCTGGTTGGCTGATAAAACACCTCATAGGCTACTTTTCGATTATGTTTCTGATTTTAAATCTCTGCTTATCTTTATTCTTATCTTTATGTAATTACATGCATGCTTTCTTTCGGATTTTATTCATTTCTTTTTTTTGGGGGGGGGTGTGAAATATTAGTTCACGATTATAAATATAATAAGAAATATTACTTTTGACCGCCCCATACTCCCCAGAACCCCTAAAAGATAAGTCTTTATTCTTGTTTACTCGGAGACAGGGAAGTTCGCTATGTAAAAGATCTACCATCTTGAGTGCGGGTTCAAAACAAGCATTTTTCGATTTGTATCGCTAGGACACGCCTTCTTGACATTTACTGTACTGCTGTACACACCACGAATGTATTTAAACAGCTAAGATTAGTTTAACTCAGAGGCGTAGCGACCCTTCCCGGCGCCCGGGGACAAACTTTCAATTTGGCGCCCCCCTCGGGAGCAAATTTTCGATTTGCATTCCCCCCTCGAACTTTTCATTTGCACCCCCCCCCCCTCAAACTTTCAATTTGCACCCCTCCTCGAACTTTTCATTTGCACCCCTCCCTCAAACTTTCAATTTGGCGCCCCCTCTAAGGTCGGCGCCCGGGGACATATGTCCCCCCCCCCCGCCTCCTCCCCTCGTTACGCCTCTGGTTTAACTACCATCTTAATCAACCTGCTATTTTAATTGCCATTCTACTTACAACAATACTTAAAATGGTAGTTACCAATCTACTCACCAACATACTTACCATCCTACTTACAATCCTACTTAAACCTACTGAAAGAGTTTCTTGAGGCGTCTCTACGGGGTGGGGGGGGGGGGGGGGGGTAGCGGACACCGGTACAATATATATTTTCTATATAAATTAAATTCCGTTCGAGGGAAAAAGGGGGGGGGTAGACCTTTTGAAAGAACCATTGCCTACTGATCAACCTACTTCTCAACCTACGTATCAACCTACTCACATATAACTTACCATCAATTCTAACCAGTTGTAAATAAAATATTGTTTCAGGTGACCTACCATTACTCTATGACACCAAGAAACTTTTCGCTAACAAATTCTACCTGTGGGAAGATTTCCTATCTGTTGGTTGTTTGGAGGAAAAGTTGATGAACGACACGAGGGATGAATTTCTGGGTGTGAAGACATTTAACGTGTCTTATTATGAGAGTTTAGCGATTGTGAAAAATCGCGTTGTTTAAAAATATAATAATAAAAGCCGTGATAAAATTTGATTGAAACTAAGTCCTAAAAAATGATCGAGTTACTTTAAAAAAAAACAGCAATTTCGATAAGCTTTGCCCCATAGAACGTCAGGTTTGAAAGGGAAACTTTTTTACTTTAGAGCTTGAAATGTATCTAGTACTATTCCTGTGATTCTTTCTTCACGCACTTGATGTATAAGTGCTACATCGATCGATGAATGTTTGATTACGTTAATGAATTGTATTCTTTGTGGATTTTACTCTGTGTAAATAAAGTTGTGAAATGAACAAGCAGTACCGTGAATCTTTGAAGAAAGAAGAACTCACAATAACATCTAGATTTCGCAATAACAACAGAGTGTTATAATTATCAACATTTGCTTGAGTAGCCTCCGGTTTATCAACAAACATACACTATCTGTCGTGACTAAAGAATACAGATAAAGCTTTTTTTTCCGACCGTTTTCTTATACCGTATATACGAGCAGGTCAAAGCTTGTCTTGACTTTTGGACAAAAACAGGACATACGGCATAAGCCAACAGTATTGAAATATTTTGGGATAAGAGTAATATGTTTTAAATAATGCTGTTATTTTTTATTGTGTCTGAATGACAAAAAAATTTGTTTGTTATAATTATCAGTTAGTCCAAACATAATAATGACATAAAATGTTGCATAGCTTTGTATAATCGGGTTTCAGAATTAATTAAATTATTCCTTTTAGTAACGTGACTAATCATAAAAGCAGGTAATTAAGTTGAAATGTTGAAAGTTTTTAAAAGACACTCCAAAGCTGAAATTGAATATATTTTACAATTAACTAGCACTCATAAAATTGCAGATCTATCTAAATATACTCAAGCCCTGGAAGTATACGACATGACAGAAAAGTCTATTATGTATATATATATATAAGTGTATATATATACATATATATATATATATATATATATATATATATATATATATATATATATATATATATATATATATTACTTTAAAAAGTATCACTTTCGCATACTTAAGAGATTTTGTGAACTATGTACTTTACAACGACACTGCTAAAAAATTTCTGGAATGGACAAAAGATACAGACATTCCTGACGAAACGTTTTTTTTCTTCACTAAACTATAACCCGCAACTTGGGATAAAGGGAACTTTTAAAGATAAACTATCCACTGTATATCATGGTGATTTGCAAAAGTATACAGAGTTACTTCCGATTATTTATCAGAGACTTATCATATGAAACAAATGTTACATTACTTAAACAAACATAGTTCTCTGAGTTAACCTTAGTATTTTATTATTATATACAGAGAGCTAAGATAAAAGTCCTGTCTATAACTGTATCTTTCGTTAACTGACTACATGTACATATCAACCACAAGACAGAGCGAACAATTAAGGGACGTAGCAATGATTAAACTATACAAGGGACGTAACAATCTTTAACAAGACATAGTTAGCACATACATTTTTTCTACTCCCACCACAAAAACCACTGACTAATATTGTTGACAATATTTTCATTTTATAACAAAATGAATAACCTTAAATAGTTAGTTGACATTAATAGTTTCTGCTCTTGCTTTTATGCATTGTCGAAACCTTAAATTTTGCACAAATAACCCTATTAAACGTTGTATTTATCAACACACTAAGTAGTTTCTCTTCTAAACATCAAATCGATTACCTATGATTGACCAGTCTTATGCGTATATAAAAGAAATTAAAAATGAAGACCAGTCTTATGCACACTAGCAATACACAGATATCATATATCATATGCTCTTAAGAAAATGCCCCAGGCTGAAGTTAAATGAAATTTGACAATCAAAGGCAGTTTAACTAAATGTGTAATTAAAATCTTGTAAAAAAATATGTGATAATGGACAATGAACAAAACAAAAAATGCAACCTAAGGGTGATGGTAAAGATAGGCATGATAGAGAAGAGGCTCCTCCCTTTATAATGTTGAAAATTGTTCGTGAATATCCTTCTGGAACCCGAGATGTAGATATATAAATCAGAACTGGCTCCAATATACGGGTGAAAAATTTCAAAACTGATCGTCAAAAGATGCTTGATTTCTCTGCTAAAAACCTTTTGATCTACCGTTACACTGGCAAGGCAAAGTAACCACATGTTGGTGCTTTAAGTAAATTTGGCTAAAAAGATGATGACATATTGCATGTAGGAGATGGCAGAGAAAAGTACCAAAATTACATGATAATAAATTTAGAATAAGTTTATTTAATTATTGAGTATACTTGCACTTTAGGAAACTGGAAATAAGTTTTGTTTTCTGTTGAGCTTTTGGGTTCTTGTTTGTACCAAGTTCCTTCTATCAAACATTAAGAGTATAAAGACACTAACTTCCATCTGACACAAGATACCAATAAACTAATGTTTCTCAAAAAATAATATCAAGGCACTAACTTACTTCTGGCACAAAATACCAATAAATTAATGTTTCTCAAAAAATAATATCAAGGCACTAACTTACTTCTGACACAAAATACCAATAAATTAATGTTTCTCAAAAAATAATATCAAGGCACTAACTTACTTCTGACACAAAATACCAATAAATTAATGTTTCTCAAAAAATAATAATATCAAGGCAATAACTTACATCTGACACAAGATACCAATAAATTAATGTTTCTCAAAAAAATATTTGATTTTAATATGTGAAAGAAATATATTTTAATATAGTGCAGTAATAAAATCAAAAGTAACACATTATTATGAAATTATCCATCATGAAAGCCAAATACATTACAATTTAAATGGTCTGAGCTTCTGTTGTCACTAGGCATGCTGCCCAGCTTCGCTTAGGCTTTCGAAAACATTGAGAATTTGAATGCTTATTTAATTCGCCCATATAAGGCGCCGGTCAGTCGAGGTCAGTTTTGACCCCCTCATCGTAGGCTTTTCGGCCAACCGGCCCCCGTGTTCTGTCGCCCCAAGGCACGATACTGCCAAATTTGAAGCGCCTGCGGCGCCGGGAAGTGCCCTATCGGGCACCCGACAACTTAGCTTTATAGATCATCTAGATCTAGATCTAGAATCTCTAGATCGAGATGATATTGATATAGAATCTCCAGATCTAGATCAATATCTAGATCTAGAATCTCTAGATCTAGAATCCAAATAGATAAAATATTTTTTTTAAGTTTAGGCCGAGAATATCGTATTGTGTAGTCTACATTTCATAGCGTACATAGCTCTAAATCATATTTGAATGAAATATTTTATTTTTTTAAATTCTAAACTCGGAAGATGACGTCATCAGTTCTGTGCTTTTTTTTATTTAGTGTAAACAATAAGCGACGTCATTGTTAAATGCGTTCTTGTCCCAAGTTTATACACTTTTCCGGTTGCATAAATAATACTGTTTCTCTACATTCGAATACGCCTTTATTTTTTTATTTTTCTTCTTTAAATAAAATTGTGGTTATACATTTAAAACATCTAACATATTATTTTCAACAAAAGTCCGTATAAAGGTATCCATATATCGCTGCCGATTCTGACGTGATGTCCGGCGAAAATATTTTGCGGACAGAGAGAGAGAAGTGCGAACGTGGGGTTTTATATATTAGGATATTATCATCATTAAATACATTATCATGCAGATAGTAATAATTTAGTTCTCTGATGCTGGAAATAGATTTGAACTTAATTAACTATTTCATTGAGAGACAAGGCTGTAGCACTGTTTTTGCTCATGTCACAATAATATTTTTGATATAACAATTAAGATTAACCGCCACAACTACTATCACATAAGAAAATACTTATATCTACAACAGAAATAAAAAGTACCTAATCTGATTTCCCTGCTTGTCATTAAAGGTCAGTTCTAATCTGAGTCTAGAGCCACCAGTTCACGGGGTCCATTTTAGCCTGTTAGTACTTAATAAATTCAAATGCTTTTTTTAGAAGTCTGAAATAGCGTAAAGTAATACTTCTCAGCAACCCTAATCTTAGTCGACTAGACCACATCGACCCCCACTTTATCTATCAATACAAGTATTGTCCCGTACACTGTTATGGTTGTCTCACGGTTCGACTGAACTATTGTCACCTCGAGTTCTTTTGTTGTAACAACGTTCGTGTTTGTATCTGATCGTGCCTAAGTTGGAAAAGCCATTCGATAGGAAAAAATGCATCTTTGCTTACCTACATATTGTAACATTCACTTGAAACCTGTAGATATTTTACAGACAAATCAATTCACTTGCGTCACTCTGTAACAACACTGCAATCTGTAGCTTCATTATTTAGTTTTACTAAACTGGCTTGCTAGGTGAGTCTGATTTAAATCTATACGCGTATTAATATTCTAGGCATACTGCTAGCTCTGCTTAGGTTTTAAAATACAGAGAATGAGAATTTAAATGAGTAATTAATTGATGATTGGCTGCTATGTGGATTATTTAGGGCCTTTTTTTTAATTTAATTTGTTTAATATCTTATCTATGCTGTATATAGAAAACATGGAGATGAAACAATAGTTATCAAGATTTCTGCTATCGCTTTCTGTTTCTTTTGGCCTAAACACTGGTTTTTTCACCTTGTTGCGAACTGGCCTTTTCTTTTTGTTCCCGTCCTTCCTCCCTTTTTGTTTACCATCAAACTTGTCTTTTTGCTGAAACTTGACTGAGAATTTACTTTTTTTATTTCCAGAAGCTCCACTAAATCTATTTTCTTTCTGATGTTTTTGGTTTGTCTCCCCTCTTCCTTGATTATGTCCCTTCTTAAAATCTTCCTTCACTTGTTTAAAGTCTCTCTTCCCTTGTTTGAAATCTTTCTTCCCTTGTTTAAAATCATTCTTACCTTGTTTAGCTCGTTTTGCTTGAGGCGCAACAGAATCTTGGCTTCCCCTTTTCCTTTTTCGACTACTTGAGAACATTTCTGGCTCAGGTTCCTCTCCTATCTCCTGCTTGTAGTACTCTCTGTCATCATCATCATCCTCATTCTTCACATCTTCCTCTTCATTTTCAGCTTTGTTATCCACTTCGCTACTGTCTTCCTCCTCTACTGTCTCTGTTTCACCTTTCTCCTTCATTTTCCTCTTCATTCCTTCTTCTGTTTTCTTGATGTGCTCTTCTTTAAGTTTTTGTTTTTTCCTCACATCTGCCTCCTGTTTCTGTTTTCTGGCCAACTTTTCCTTTTGTTTTTGTATTCTCATGGCTTTGATGGCCTCCAGCTCCTCTGGTGTTTTGACAACCAATAAATGATACAAAACATCTCCATCTTCAAAATCTTCTTCAATCTTTATCAGCGTCAGGTTCAGCCGTGGACCAATTTCTTTTACCCTGATAGCATTGACAGCATTCCTTGTAACCCCTCGACCTTTGACATTTTGTGTGACTGTGACCTGGTTGTGTGGGCCATCCTGCTCCCCTTCACTGTCTGACATTCCTTTCTCCATAAACAGGTCAGCAATGTCCTCATGGTGTCCCAAGTCAGGCAGCTTTGATCTCATCAGCTTCTTCATGGCTTTACTCACCCCAGTTGGAGTAACTTTTATTATATAGTGTCTGATATCTACAGTTTTACTTTCAGGGTCGTAGTTGACCAGGACAGATCTTCTCATGTTGTTGAGTTTCACTGTATTTGGGTTGATTGAAGGAAACATGTTTTTGAAGGTAATATTCATGAGCTTGTTCTCCATACTGTCCGAGGGTATATTGGCCACCATTACAGCGTTGTTGGTAAACAGCTTGGAGTCAACATCTGGATGTTTTTGAAATGACAAGACATCCTTAGAAAGACTAAACTCATTGACCTTAAATGTCAGCGTTGGCCCACGAGGGACACAGACTAGCTTCATGTATGTGGCGATATCTGTCTTTGTGAACACAATGAAATGGGAGACCTGTAGAGGCCCAGCGATTGTTAAACAATCTTTCATCACATTTTTCTTTCTCACCCTTAGGTTTGAAGCAGTGTAGGGTTCCATTATTTTCCGTATGTCTAGAACAAGTTCTTTGACAGTTTTACCAACATGACCTCTGTGAAAAACAAACGAATGTGGGGCCCTAAGGTATGTTTCTTCCTCAAGCCCAGTAGCGGGACCTGCTTTGGCATTTTAAGCAGCTTTTCCTAGTTTGCCCCTTCTTTTCCCCATTGTTTATTTTTATTCTGGAAAGCATGCAGTATTTCTACAATTTGGCTGTGATTATTTAGGGCCTAAGTTTAAAGGGTCTGAATAATTTCATGTCATGCAAACAAGGGTGGTGTATTCGCAAACTTATTACGCGCAAGGTTATTAGAACTGCAAAGTGGCTTCTTTAATAGTATAAGTCAAAATTATATTAAATTTATTTTGACGATATTTTTTTGCAATTTCACTACAATACATAACTTAATTGATAACGAAATATCTATTTGAACGAACGGTATACTTTGTAATATTTTTTAAGTGTATCAAAATTATTTCAAACATATTATTTTAATAAGTTACCTCCCCTGTACAAAGACAAAATGACGTAGTCTTTGTTTACTTTTTCACAAACAACTGTTTATATAAAAAATACGGCATATGGCATATGGACAAATCTAACGATTCTTTGGGTTTTTTCCGACGGGGTTAATTTTTTCGTGTTACTTTCCAGGGTCGATTTACGACCTCATAAAAAAAAGGGGGGGGGTCGTTCGTCGATCTATTTATATACATCTTATATAAGGAGTTTTACAATCGCAGTCATTTTTTAGTCCTTGTCGAGGACTTTGAGTTGGACCAACTATTTTTACAAACGGCCTGGTCATCCATAGAGGTGCATGCAAAGAATTAGCCAGATATACAGGGGGTAAGTACCCTAAAATGTGTGTTTAAATTAACTGTTTTTACATGAAACACAAAGATTATATTGAGAAATACGACTGGTCAGTTTTTACCCATTTCTAGATTTTTCCCGAATTTTGCGAGTTGTTTTTTTTTCTGACATCCGTAGGCGTTCTTCTAAAACCTCACAATATATTAAGGGGTGTGCGTGTGAGTGTTTGTATATGTGTGTGGCTATTTCTCTCCGTTTATATATATATATATATATATATATATATATATATATATATATATATATATATATATATGTGTGTGTGTGTGTGTGTGTGTGTGTGTGTGTGTGTGTGTGTGTGTGTGTGTGTGTGAGTGAGTGTGTGTGTGTGATTATTTCTTGTTTTTGTTTCATTGATTTTTACGCAAAAAGCGTTTTTGGGGTCATGCCTTAAATTTTAATGGCACTTAGATAAACGGTGTGAATCGCAATCGATGTATACTTTATATAAATGGTATATAGAATAAATCGAAACCTCCCGGGTGCGCTCTTGCGAAATTTAAAAAAAATATATTTTGCAGAAACATACCACGGAGATTTCTCATCAACTCACCCAAAATTTCATGGCGACGAATGAACAGTGACAAACGGCATGCGACTTTTATTTGTTGTATCGTATGCAGAGAAGAATGACATATTTTTGTATGTGCGCAATTTATCGCTTACGCATTTTCTGTTAGCGCATTTTTCTGTGTGCGTACTTTTCTTTTTCCGCAATTTTCAGTGAACGCATCTTTCCGTTTGCGTATTTTTCTGTATGAGTACATTTCTGCTTTTGCATTTTTCTGTGAGCATTTTCTGTTTGCGCTTTAATCTGTATGCGCTAATTTCCTTTTTGCGATTTTTCTGTTTGCTAATTTTTTCGTTGCGTTACTTTGTATGCACATTTTTCTTTGCGCAACTTTCTGAACACCACAAAATGTAGTGTGTAAACAATGTTCTGTTACACTTAGTTATATTTTTATTGAATTTTGTTTGTTTTCGTCATTGTTAGACCTTGCACGTTTTTGCTTTTGCGTTGTAAAATTCTATATACTCTTACAGAATACTTTATCCTATATATTCTTTTTAGCTATTTTAATTGTATCATATCGTGTGGCTGCTTACCATGAGAGTGAAAGAATGTAGCGAGCTCTTTTCTGAATAATGAATTAAATGGGATGCTTAATATGTTTGTTTAACGAACTATGTGATCGGGGAATTGTAAATGTAAATTTCAAGTTCCCATTACTGCTTTAGTCGTAACTAAAAGTATTTTGCATTTTTTTTTTACATGTGTGTCATTTTTCATGACCACACTTGGCGGAGCAGATCTTAGATGATAACGAGTCCATATGGCCCTTCACTAGGTTCAGCCTTTAAAAACTGTACTTGGTCTTCCTTAACAACACTCTTCACTAGGTTCAACCTTCAGGGTAAAAACATACTTAACAAAGTAAATACATATTTTTAAGTGTTTAGATAAACACACTCCATACCCAACACCTAACCCAACTTCAACAGTAAACCTTAAACAGACCTCTACACTAACTCCTTCGATGGCATTAACACCTTTCACTACACCAACATTTACACAAGTATCAACTTCTACGTTTATATCAGTCCTAACATCTAAATAACACTGATTCGCTAAAATAAAGCAGGAGCGATCTCCCCTTAACTTTTTCGAATATTGTTAAATCACACTAATGGGGATGGCAACTCCAGTGCGGTTGGGATAAAGATATTATTTAAAAACAAATACTTAATTATTTTTTTTGTAAATAGAATATAATCTCGTTAAAAAAGTAAGTGCGCAAAGAAAAGCGTGGGTCACTTTAGTATCTATTGGATACCTTTACTAATGTTAAGGAAGACACCCACGCTTTTCTTTATAGTTATTTAAATAGTAGTCTATAATTTATTTTCTACTTTTTAGTGCATTGTTACATAAAAGCTTGTTATTAAAACGTTTTTTATGAATTTTTTTTCAGTACTTTACATGTTTTATTTACAATAGAGTTACATGACTAAAAACCATTGCGCGCAATGGTTTTTGAACCCACCCATTACGTGATGGCGCAGCTATTGAAGGTGATGACGCGTGTGGTGTGGTTGGCTAGACATGCCTACTAATTTGATCCAAATTTTAATTAATTAATAAAAATTTAATTAGGCATCCAATTAAGTCAAATTTAGTTTCAGATTGCATTGTCTCCATGTCTTAAACCACGTGCCAACTGTGAATCGTGTCGGTCAAGTAGAAGTTTCCGAATTTTCACTCCTGCGTTTCTATCTAAACAGACTGACGACTGACGACTGACGACAGAGGAAGTGAGTTAAATAAAAGCTTGTAAAAAGGAGAAAATTAACAATTGTCTTTAAATATATTAAATACTCTATTTTAACAATTATAAAAGCTCTGAAAACTATTTAAAAGCAACATATAAATAGTTATTCTAGTTATTCTAGTTATTCTATTTGATGTATACAAAGTAATAGTTTGCGATTGCTAAATTTGTTCTATACACGTTATAATATGAAACAAATTGTATCTTAAAATGACTTTTAATTTATTTTTTTCTAATTAATTTAGAGTTTTGTGTTATGTGTTAACACAAATTTTTATTCTCAGACAAACAGCAACATGACAATGTTCAAAATAAAGAGCAAAGCAGATCAGACAACACTAAAACAGTACTCATCTGTCATTTTCTTTATTGGCACCGTTACACTGATCACAGTATTATTTTTAGTACCAGAAATAGATATCAGTTTTCTGCCGATGTCGTTGCTCAAAAGTGGAAACACGGATAATAGTTCACTTAATTTACATTCCTGCATGTGTCTCAAAAGGGATGATTTTAAACAGGCAATAAAATACATTCATCCTGAGTATAAGAATAACTATAATGGCAAGTTAGAAATTACTTCTAACAACTCTGAAGAAATAGATCTAAAATCTGGTTCGAATAACTTGTTGATTCCTAAATCGACAAATTACTCACAATGTTGTAATGGTGAAATGTGTAGCATAGATTCCCTACAAACGTTATCCAGGAAGTTTATAGTAAATGAAGTCAATTGTATAGCAATTCTTTCCGGTAACAAAACTGACGTCAACGAAGGAATCCGTCAAGCAAATGCGACAAAACGTCCCCTTTTATCTAGCAGATTTTATTTGAATATCACAGAAAATTGTGAAGTATTTAAGAGCTCTCGTGGTTACATCACTTGCTCAATGACGCAGGAAGAAGAAGAATTCCCCATTGCGTTTTCTATTTTAGTATTCAAAGACATAGAAATGGTTGAGAGATTGCTCCGTGCTATTTATAGACCACAGAACTATTACTGTATTCACGTAGATGCTAAAGCAAACAAAGAATTTTTCCTCGCCGTATCTGCTGTAGCGCAATGTTTCACTAATGTTTTCTTGACGGCTGAACGAGTGGACGTCCGGTGGGGAAAATTCAGTGTACTGGAACCGGAACTGATGTGCATGAAACAGCTTTGGAGATATACAAAATGGAAGTACTTTATCAACCTCACTGGACAAGAGTTTCCTTTGAAGACAAACGCTCAGATGGTGAAAATTTTAACAGCTTTCAACGGTGCAAATGATGTAGAAGGGACAATTAAATGGTAAATAGTGACAACATTTATTGTAGCGCTTACTGTTTTGCAATGCTTTATTTTTAATTATTTATTGTTTTTGTAAAATGGAAAAATATAATTGATTTGTATGTACAAGAATGATTTCATTGAATATAGGGTTTGTGAAAAATAACGTGGTTAATCTAATATATAAATATCCAACGAATTATATGTCTCTGTATGTATTTAAGTATATAATTTGTGACAGCTGACGGACCTTTGGCAAAAGGAGAATATAGCAAAACAAAAAAGACTTAATCGCCATAGTGTAATATTCTTTAAGCGTTTCATATCTAAATGAATGATTTTTAAAAAATAACATAATTTTGGAAAAAAAGGTTCTTTTTCTAAACGTATCATTTTAATTAACTTTACGTAGAATTAAAAAGTAAAAGAAAATGTATCAACCTTCACAAAAATGTGTAAAATGTTCAATATACTTCACTTTTTTACCTTTATTGACAATTTCTTCACTTGATAGATCACAAAAAATGTTACTTCCCTTTAAAAACAATTACATCGGAGAAAAATACGTTTTATTGGTTTATTTTGGTGTTAGGAAAAAAACAATTATTTAATTAGCATGGATTAATGAAGTGCAATGTGGTAGATAAGACACAGATATTTTGGGTTACTAAAGTCCTTCACTAAATCGAATCTAGGGCGTACGCTGGCGCCCCAACAGAGTGCTTTTTGTGGCGTCCCTGGTCTTACTGTGAGCCTACGTTCCTGTACTTGAGTGCTAAGTTTATGGATAAGTTGGGGTATTATAGTCGTTTACTAAGTTGAATCAGGCTCCCTGGGTGGTTATGTTTACATTTCTTTTGCTTTATTTTTACTTATTGTTATGCGTTTAGTTTTGCGTTTACGTTTGTATTTGTATTTGTGTTTGTATTTGCCTATGTGTTTATGTTGGCATTTGTGTTTCGTGTATGTTTATGTTTTTCTTTGTGTACATGTTTGTGTTTGCGTTTGCTTTTTTATTTTTGATTGTGTTTTATTTTTTATTATGTTTGTGTTTTCGTTTGTGTTTGTGATTTTGTTTGGGTTTGTGTTTGTTTTTGCGTTATGTTTGCGTTTTTGTTTTATTTAGTTGTTGTTCGGGTCAATATATTTCCTAAACCCGGGCAACTACGTGTATTTGCTGCTTAATTAACACACAAGTCATTGTCCTTTTTTTTTACAGAGTCCAGTGTCCGGCCTGGCCGGGATGGCTAGTTAAATATAAAATAGCGTTGCCAAACTAAAGCAATTTTAAACCAATTGTAAATCTTCACATAAAAACGATTGAGCATCATACCTGCAAATCGAACGAAATAGGTTTTTTCGTCACTCATATATGTAAACATTAGTTATAATTTGCTGGAGTTACGCCTAGCCGATAACTGCTAATATTTTAATAAGATGTGTACAGATACTAAAATTGAGGAAAGAAATATAAAATGTATTGTGTTAAGTAAACTAAACGCAATAGGGTTGATTAATCTTGAAGTAAGATCAATTTTCAAACGATAATATCAGGACTCCACCTTATATCTTTGTTAAGTCACTTGCAAGGAATATATCGGGGTCTATGTTAATTATGTTTATATTGAACAAACATGATAATTCTTTTTTTTACATCTTGCTTTTTTAAATTTATTTAACAGGGCTCACAAGTATAGATGGCCAACAAAACCACCAAGAGGTTTAAGACCAGTGAAAGGATCAGTTCATGTTGTCGTGAACCGGTTGTGTGATTTTGTTGCTTTTGATCAAAATAAGTTTAGATTAGATCTTTATTCAAATCTAATGAATAAACGTTTCGTAACAGTAGCTTTGTCGCCGATGTGTTTGGCAGAAAATAAACGGGATTAGCACGCATAGACTCTTAAAATGGAACTTTATATTATTTTAAATGTTTAACGGTGGATTAATGACATTGAGTTTGTTCATTTCTTATATCTTGTATACACATTGATTGTATTTAATGCAAAAAGCATAAAAGTAATTCCATGTGGATGTTTAATATAATTCAAAAATTTAGTGTGGGTTTTTTTTTCTTGTCTAAACAACGACACATTAGCTTTTTAAAATTGTTTTATCATAGTGTGTCTATATTGTTTCTGAAATTTTGCCAACTACATTTTACACAACAAATTTCCTCCAATACTTGTTTTACAATAATGTTTCATTGTTGTTTATTCCCAGATATTTTGTTGACTACATCCTACACAACGGCACAGCCAAAGATCTACTGCGATGGGTCAAAGGAACGGGAGTTCCCGATGAAACGTTTTTCGCCACATTAAACCACAATCCACAGCTGCGGATACGCGGCACCTACAAAGGTAAGTTAAATAATTACGTAAAGAAAAGCGTGGCTCACCCCCCCCCCTGTATATAACTATAAAGGTGATTCAATGCTCATCACCATCTACAGCACGACACAATAAACAACACAACAAAACATACCCCGCAAGATTCCGGTCCACTGTTCACCACATGCTTCGAACTCCTACCAAAATATGGCGCCGCTCACCCTACAAAAAAAAAAAACTACACATTACAATAAAAAAAGTAAAGTTTCCATTTCAAAATTGACGGTCTATGGGGCAAGTGAAGTAGAGTTCACTTGTTTCTGTGACCTCGGCATATAAAGATATAGTGACACCCTACAATACACATTAAAAAAGCATTGCCCTGATCTACCTTCTACTAAATCACATAGCACAACCTATACATGTACACATAAATCATATCATCCATTCAAATCACTTATCCCACACGCTTCTTAACAGACCGCAACATATTCCAATACACAGATACAATTCACAACACAAGCAGTAGACCGAACCTTAAACCACTTATACCACAACCCAAGCCACACCACTCCAAATCCAACCTTTTGAGCTAAACTAAACACCACCCATACACCCACTTTACTCTAGCCACACCACAACACAATACCCTAAAACTCAAACATAAGCTACCTTCTTATCCCAAGATCAGTTGTTCATCTTATACCATACAGACCACTTCTCATTACTTCAACCCAGCACACACCATAAATCAACACAAAGTAGACCAAACTCTCCACAAACACGCTTTAGACCATAAGGTTTTTGCGTGTAACAATATTTGCATTTAACACTATGGGGAAAATCTGAAATCCTCACCGAATTGAGATAGCAAAGTTATAATTAATACCGTGTTGAATGCGATTATATTTTAGAGTCCGAAATTAAGCTCTCCCGTTTATATTTACGACGAAAGACTGACGACAAACGGAGGAAGCAAGTTAAATAAATGCTTGTAAAAAAAAAGATCATATTCTTCAAGCGTTGAAAAAACGAAAACAAAGTTGCTATATCGATGGCTAATTGCTTAGATTATAGTTTTAATATTTATGTCCATTAAATTTTATTTTTAATTTTTATTTTATACCAAACATAAATATGCGCTACTTCAAAGGTATTAATTTCGTCTCAGTAGTAGAATATAACCCTTATAATTGTCAATGTTTTTGTAAACAGTTACGTCACATTTCATATCCATCCCCAGGGCATCCTGATAGTGGTCACGTGATCAAACCGTACCTTGCCAGGTTTAAAAACTGGGGTGGCATCCCTTGTGCAGGGCGTTCAGTTAGAGACATCTGTATTCTTTCAACAGGTAATATATAAATTGTAAACCGTCAACATGTCAGTGATAGTCGCCAGTAACTGTCAGCAGATGTACTTACCATCTTGTTTAAAATACTACTTACCATCCCACTTAGTCACCAACTCTTGACTTGACTTAATCCTCTCTGCTTCTTATGGAACATAAATCCTCTCCCATTCTTTCCATTTCAACCGATCCACTGCTATTAAATTTACCGTCTCCCAAGACATCCCTGTTGGCCTTAGTTCTTCGAGAACACTCCGCCTCCATGTCTGTCTTGGGCGCCCTCTCTTCCGCTTTCCCTGTGGGTTCCACTCAAGCGCTTGTCGTGTCACATTAGGGTGAGCCTTTTGATGCGTGTGTCCCACCCAAAGCCACTTATTCCTTACTTGCGCTGCCATAGGCTCCTGCCTTGCTTTTCTCCATAATTCTATGTTCGGTACTTTGTCCTGCCGCCTCAATGTCAAAATCTGTCTAATGTATCTGTTCATGAATGTCTGAATCTTCGCTATGTTTGCTTTGGAGACTCCCTATGAGTATGCCATATATAGCAAAACTACCTTGACATTTGAGTTAATTATTCTAATTTTTAGTCACCTTCGCCATGTAAAAATTCGTATTTTCAGGCGTCTAACCGTTATATAATGACAATAAGAAATTTCTTGCAAACATATTCAACCTGAACAAGGGTTTTGTAATACAATTCTATTCAAATATTTTTATCAATAGCAGTCAAGTTTTATGTTAGCATGAAGTCTAAGCTTTCAAGCATTAATAATTATTAATAAAATGTTGGCAGAATTGGCTTAAAATTACATAAATTAATATAAAATTATTTTGATTTGCAGGTGATTTACCGTTGCTTTTCAATACAAAACAACTTTTCGCCAACAAATTCTACCTGTGGAAAGATTTCATATCTGTTGGTTGTTTGGAGGAAAAGTTGATGAACGACACGAGGGATGAATTTCTGGGTGTAAAGACATTTAACGTATCTTATTATGAGAGCTTAGGTTTTCTGAAAAATTGCGTGACATAATAAAATAAATAAAAGGCGCAAGGGTAAAATAAAACAGTTTAAAACCAAGCACGAACCAATTACTAGAACTTTATAATAAAGAACGTTTTATTCATTTAAAACACATATGAATACACTTTTCAACTTTATTTACAAATACTAGAGTTAAATAAGCATCATTATCTCTCTCTCTCTCTCTCTCTCTCTCTCTCTCTATATATATATATATATATATATATATATATATATATATATATATATATATATATATATATATATATATATAATTCTCTTCTTGGAGACGATAGAAAAACACCAAGCTGTAAGCGCGCCTCCTAGCAGCCCCCTCTCTTTGTATCTAGGCATATCGCTACCACCCCCCCCCCCCCCACATGGTCTGGTGAGCTGTGGTTCACGCTAAATGTTTACAATCGTTGTTTAGTGACAACTTAGGGCAGGTAACTAAGAGGAGGCTGCTTTCAGGGGGGGGGAGAGGGGGTGGGTTATCGTCATTAACGGGCTATTGATAGTGTTTTAAAGCAAATAGTTTCAGTGGAAGCATTGGTACTGTCGAATTCACAAATTATGAATTACTGAAAAGTAGAAAACAAAACAACTAAATAGCGGTGTTAACGGCGTATGATACGCCGCGTGTCGGCTCGTTTTTAATATAACGACTAACTGATTGTCTTTGTTATTTGTATTTAATTTGACGTTATCGGCTAGGCGTTGCTCTAGCTATTAATAGCCATTCCAAAATATAAATGGTAACGCACATATGTTTGTTTGTTAACAATATATTTTAAGAGAAATTAAATTAAATAGAATTACATAATGCTTGTCTAAAAACAACAACAGCACGAGTTTCTAAAAACGTAACCTACACATATCCTGCCATTTCTCATTATCACGTTTTTTACACAGAAATACAAGATGCTAGAGTCAAACAACTAAACACAAAATCGCACTATACATAATTTCCCTCTCTTAGTGAGCAACAACCCTATATGATATAATTAAAATATGCAAAAATAAAATATCGCTACAGTATCAATTAAGAGTATATAGCACTTTACGCCGTGAAAGCAAATAATTTAAAAGAGTAACATTAAAGTAACAAAAAAAATTTAAAAAAATATAAGAAATGTAAAAGACAATAGAATACATACAGAATCTATTTATATATATATATATATATATAATTCTCGTCTGGGAGACGCTAGAAAACAAGCTGTAAACGCGCTCCCTACCATCCCCACCCCTACATGGTCTTAGTGAGCTGTTGCTCACGCTATGTTTACCTTCGTGGAGTCGGGTTTAGTGACGGCTATTAGGGGCAGATAATTTAGTTTGAAACGATTTTAAACGTTGGGGGGGGGGGGGTTATGGTCCTTAACGAACTACTTATAGTGTTTTAAAGAAATATTTTCAGTGTCAGCGTTGGTACCTTCGAATTCACAAATTATGAACTACTGAAAAGTTTAAAAAACAACAACTAAATAGCGGCGTATGTTATGCCGCGGGCCGGCTCGTACTCTATATTTACTTACAAAAAGTAAAGCGACAGCTACGCAATTAAATATTAAATGATATGCACAGAGTCGACCTAACTTAAAATATGCATATTCGTAAAATTAAATCTTAATTTTATCCGAAATGTAACCCCCCCCCTTCCCCCTATGCCCGGAAAATATCAAGTGCCCCTCGTGATAAAAAAAAAGTCTGGAAGAAATACTGGTTTGCAAGTGGCTCTTTAGTCGTCAGATTGATCACCGTAAACTAACATGGCTGCTAATGTAAACTATCTGCAAATCACTTTGATTTGATCTTCGATTATTTGCAAAGAAACAGATTTCATAATTTCTTAGATTATATGTTGGATAAGTCCGTCAGATAAACGTTTTCGACTTTGTTAAACATATAACGTCAAGTAGTCTGATTTGCGTAAACTTCAGGACTTGATTATTCTCTCACTGTTATAGGTATTAAATTTTAATTATATATCGACTAATCTATTAATAATTTGAAGCCAATACGTTAACTAACGACTATTTAGTATGAATAGTTGCCAGCAACTGATAAATAAACGATGTTGCCTTACCGGTTAACTGTAAATAAAGAATTTCACGGCTGAATGATTTCCTTCCACAACGATATGAAAGCAAAGTCAACAACAGAGAAAGCTGTTTCAGTATAGCCCTTTAGTTTTGATTTAGATTTTATTGATTTGCTTGAACATTGGCGAAATACTCGTTGCTTTTTGAACTAGTGAGCTGTGGTTCACGAGAATAGTTATCATCGTAGAGCGGACGATGAACTTGAGTTGATAAGGGCAGATAATGAAGTATTTAAACGCTTTGAAACTGAGGGGATGTAGAAAGAATAAGAGCTACGAGCTGACCTCTGCCGAAAGCATACGCCGCTATTTAGTCGATTTATTTCTACTTTTCAGTAATTCCTAATTTGTGAATTTAACACTACCAATGCTGCAACTAAAAATATTTTGTTTTAAAGATGATTATCCTCAACCTCCCTCCCTCCCCACCACCACCCCCCCCCCCCCAGCGACTAAAATAAAATGTATATGGAAAATTGATACTTTTACAAGTGTCTACTACACACCCCCACCACAAAATTGTATCCCCCCCCACCCCGTAAAATTCCAAAAATGCCCCTCGAGATAAAAAAGAGTCTGAAAGAATACTGTTTGGCAAGTGGCTATTCAGCCGTCAGGCGTCAAAGGTGAGAATGTTATTGCATGTCTAATCGGTGCATTTTAGCTTGAACACCCTAAACCAACATTGGAGACCCCTGCTTTAAAGCAAACACGTTAACTAACGACAAGTTAGTATGAGTTCTTGCTAGCAACTGATAATGAAACGATGAAATTATAATTTTCCCTGGCCGATTGATTATAAATAAACAATCTCACGGCTAATTTGTTTCCATCAACAACGATATGAAAGCAATGTAAACAACAGAGAAAACGTCTTATGTATAACCCTTTGGTTTTTTTTTATTATTCTTGTAAGTTTTAAACAACACATTATTGATTTGCTAAAGCCTAAGCGAAATACTCGTTGCTTATAGAAATGACGAGCTGTGGTTCATGAAAATGTCTATCATTGTAGAACGGGCGGTCATGAGAAGGTTATTAGGGGCAGATAATGAAGTTTTTAAAAGCCTTTAAACTGAGGAGAGATAGAACGAGTAAAAGCTACCCTTAGCTAGATCATTGACCAGCTCGCTATTCTGTGTAAATTGTTATATATATATATATATATATATATATATATATATATATATATATATATATATATATATATATATATATATATATATATAAATTCTACATGTACCCAAAAAAAATCTTTCATGACAATTAATGTAAATTTATAATATAAAAATTGTTCAGAATTAAGTAAATTAAGCTGATTGTATTTAATTTATTCCGCTAAGTTCTTCTTTATAAAAGAGATATGTTTTAGCAAAATATATAATATATCATGCAACACAAACTTCTATTCTCTTGTTGTGTGTTTGAAAAAAATGTGTGTGCATTTCTGAACTATGGCATCAAACGATTAATCGATGCAACACCTGGCCTGTTAACTTCAAATAGGAGACTAACGCTTGACTTTATAGATAATCACGAGCCATACACATACGTTTACTGTGTTTAATTGACACATGTGCTGCAGAGGACACACAGAAACAAGTCATTTATAGAGTAACAATCAGCTAGACTGTATCGTTCAGCAGTGTAACCAATTTTAACATTGAAGCGGCGTCTACTAGATTAGACAATAAATAAATACGTTTTGATTGACTTAACTAACACATAGGATTTTCTAACTACTATATACACGGTAAGCTTAACATATGCCTTATATTAGTTTATTTTTCCTTAGTCGTTAGATCAGTTTAGGAGAATTTTAATATTTATTCTAGTTTTTTTTTAATTTACAAACATTATATGAACATTATTTTTTAAACTAATTATTTCCTTTTGTCTATTTTTGTATAAAAATCATAATCTGAAGAAATATGTTTTGTAAAATTACATATTTTTGTATGTTAATTTCGAGTTTGATTTGTGTTTTAAAAAAACTGTATTCTCAGGCAAACATCAACATGACACTATGCGGATCTAAAAGCAAAGTATATCAGAAATCATTAAAACGTTGCACCTCTGTTATGGTTTTCATTGGTACCGTTGCACTGTTAACGATAATACTTTTAGTACAAAAAACAGACATCGGTATTCGACCGAAGCCTTTTTCCATAAGCGACGATATCGTAAAAACGTCGGCTTGTTTACATTCCAGTATGTTTTTTGAAAGTGAAATTTTTAAACAGGCAACACAATGTGTTCAGCGTGAGTGTAAACATATTAATTCTGTACAAACGATTTCTAACAACAATGGAAAAACAGACGTCGGGACTAATCAGAGTAACATATTGACGACCACAAACATAAATTATTCAGGAAGCTGTACTGGAGACAAGTGTAGCAAAGATTCGCTAGAAATGTTAGCTAAAAAGTTTATAGTAAATGAAGTAAATTGCATGGCAATATTTTCTGGTAACGAATATAGCGTAAAAAAAGGAATCAGTAAAGCTAAGTCAACAAAACGACCCCTTTTATCAAATACTTTTTATTTGAATTTAACTGAAAATTGTGACTTGTTTAAGGTCTCTCGTGGTTACGTCACTTGCTCAATGACGCAGGAAGAAGAAGAATTTCCTATTGCGTTTTCTATTTTAGTTTTCAAGCACGTAGAAATGGTTGAGAGATTACTCCGTGCTATTTATAGACCACAGAACTATTACTGTATTCACGTAGATGCTAAAGCAGACAAAGAATTTTTCCTCGCCGTTTCTGCTATAGCGCAATGTTTCACTAATGTTTTCTTGACGGCTGAACGAGTGGACGTCCAGTGGGGAGAATTCAGTGTACTGGAACCGGAACTGCTGTGCATGAAACAACTGTGGAGATATACAAAATGGAAGTACTTTATCAACCTCACTGGACAAGAGTTTCCATTGAAGACAAACGCTCAGCTGGTGAAAATTTTAAAAGCTTACAATGGTGCAAATGATGTAGAAGGGACACTTAAAAAGTAAGAAATGTTACTAATTACAGTTTTAGCCCCCAAAGTATTTCTTTAATTCATTTTCTTAATACCTCTACCTTTATTATACAAAATAGAGAATCAAGTAAGTGATTTTATAATAACTATAATTTTCAAACAGTATGGGGTTTCTAATCAATCACTTGACATTATGTGTATATTATAATATATTTCAAAATTAAAATAATAAAATTATATTTCGACATGTCTATGTTGTGATGACAGTTTTAGTCTAAAAAGGTTACTTAACGTTTAATGAAAATAAACGTCAAGGAAGTAAACATCTACCTATATATCTATCTATACATATTATTCTCTTCTTGGATACCCTAGAAAATTCCAAGCTGTAAGCGCGCCTAGCAGGCCACTTTCTTCCTCTCTAAGCATATACCTACCACCCCCACCCCCACATGGTCTGGTGAGCTGTGGTTCACGCTAAATGTTTACAATCGTGGAGCCGGGTTTAGTGACGGCTATTAGGGGCAGATATTTTACATTGAAAAGATTTTAAACTTAGGGGAGGTAACTAAGTTGAGGCTGCTTTCACGTAGGGGGGGGGGGTTGTAGTGTAGGGGTTGGAGGAAAGGAGGGTGGGGGGTATCGTCATTAACGACCTACTGATAGTGTTTTAAAGCAAAGATTTTCAGTGGCATCATTGGTACTGTCGAATTCACAAATTATGTGTAACACATATGGTTACCAGCCAAGGGGGGATAAGACAAAGTTTTAATTCATTGGGTTGCGGCCCCTGTGGGACCGCATCTGAACTGTTGATGTAGTTGTTTTGCATGCTCTGCTGTGAGCGATTTTACGTGTGTCCCATATCATGTGACATGGGACTATGGATAGTTTCGTGCCTAGCCGTGGCAGTCACACGCAAGGCTGCTGTCTGTGGACACGGAGGGTGACGGTACCAAGAGGTAGACATAACAATGTAGACCTAATGAAGGTAGTGTCGTTATATAAATTTATTGTTAGAATACTTATTTGTGTATTCCTGCTAGTGCTGCATGTTGCACACTAGTTAGTTTGAGTATTTTTTAAAGTATTTCTTATTGTACTATTTATTGGTACTTGTAGGCAGTACTGTGTACTGGCCGCAACATATTTTATTGTACCCGTGTATGTTTGTAGCCTACATGTGGTATTATCATTGATGTAACTTTTTTTACAGTTGTTTTAGGGCTACAGTTTGTTGTTTTTACAGTTTTGTTTTCCTCTTTGGTTTGCTTCATTGTTCACCGTTAATCGTCGTACTACTGTTGTTCTACAACGCCGTCATGGCTCGATGTACATTTGAATAAAGCAAGTATTTGATTACAGCTGTCGGTGTGTCCTAAATCTTAGGGTCAGCCCGTCTTAACCACAACACCTCAGTGGGTAAAAGCATCCCCACTGAGTGAGGGTTACATATGAATTACTGAAAAGTAGAAAATAAAACAACTAAATTGCGGCATATGATACGCCGCGGGTCGGCTCGTATATCTATAATTCTCTTCTTGGGGACCATAGAAAACACCACGCAGCTTAGCCACCAACCTTATCCCCATCCGTTAGGTGAGCTGTGGTTCATCCCGAATGTTTACAATAGATGGGTTCGGGGAATAAGTGACCGCTATTAGGGGCAGATACTTTAGTTTTTAAACGATTTGAAACTAAGGGGAGATATTAAATTCTGCATGATATTTTCATTGTCGTTTGTAAACGGTTACTTTCACTGGGCGGGGTGGGGTGGGGAGGCTAGGGGGTGGGGTAGTGTCGAATTCACAAATTATGAATTGTTGATAACTAGAAAAAAAAAACAGCTAGATAGCGGCGTATGCTACGTCGCGGGTCAGCTCGTATTTATATATATATATATATAATTCTCTTCATGGGGACCATGCGAGACACCACGTAAACGCATGCACGTTACTCCCCTCGCTCTCTAGGCATACAGCTACCACTCCCACCCCAACCAGTCTGGTGAGCTAAGGTTCACCCCGAATGTTTACGACGGCTTTTATGGGCAGATGATGTAGCTTTTAAACGATTTGAAACTAAGGAGAAATATGAAGTGAAGTGATAAGTTCAGCTTGATCTTTTCAATGTCGTCCGTAAACTATCGTCACGGACGGCTGCTTTCAAACGATTTGGAAATTAAGGAGAAGCAAGAAGTTCTGCTTGATCTTTTCATTGTTGTCCGTAAACTGTCGTCACGGACGGCTGCTTTCACTGTGGCGGGGGAGGGGGTGGGGGTGGAACGGAGGATAGTCTCGAATTCATTATTTATGAGGTACTGAAAAGTAGAAAATAAAACAACTAAATAGCGGCGAATGACACGCCACGGGTCAGCTCGTAACAATAAAAATGTAAACGTGAAAGTTACTCTAGAACTTTTTTGAATATATTTTTCAAAGCAATTATAAAGGACTTCAAATATCTCTTCTATACCATTTTCGTTTGTATATATCAAAAACTATCAGAGCTTTTTTAACACCTCCCCTCCCTTCCACACACTAATCGATCGAAACAATTAATTCAGAAACAATTTATTTTGACCAGTATCCGAAATCTAAAAAAAAATATATCCGCCCCCAACCGCCTTTTAAGTTGCAAATACCTTCTTGGAGAATAAGGTTTGAAAGAAACATAAGAAACTATGTTTGCCATTTATAATCTAGACCTACATTTTCCGTATATCTGACTTCAAAGGTTTTATTTTTTATTTTCTGAAAACAGGCCTCGTAAGAATAGATGGCCAACCAAACCACCAAGAGGATTAAGACCAGTGAAAGGATCAGTTCATGTTGTCGTGAACCGGTTGTGGTTTAGTATAGTTTGTTAAAAATGTGTTTTGTTTAGATCTTGATTACAATACAAAATTATAAAACACGAGTAACGTCACTGCTAGAGAATGACGTTAACACAGCATTATTAAAACAAAACTAAATTGTTTTAAAATTGTTGATGGTGTTATTAAACGCTATGATGTTAAACAAATTAGTGTGTATTTCTAACAATGTTTGTATAAAATAGTGTATTTGATGCACAAAAACTCTATTAGGAGTCCAATCATTAATTGAAATAAACCGGGAGTGATCTCCCCTAAACTTTCTCGAATATTCTTATATAACTTGGAATATAGACATGATTTTTAATAACTTAAAAAATACTTTTAAAAATAGAATATAATCTCCTAGAATTTGTAAAAATCTCGATTTTTTTTTTTGCACGATTACAAGACTTTCTCTATACTTCGTAGGCCTATATACGGGAAAGTAAAAATGTCAAAATAATTTTATGATTGTTTCCCTTACTACATCATATATTAATACATTACATGTTTTATATTGATGTGCCTATGTCGTCGGTCCTTACATATTTTATTCACTTCATCCTACATTTAAAATTTTCTCAATTGCTTGTTTTATTTTCATGTTTCTATATCGATCCTCAGATATTTTGTTGACTACATCTTACACAACGACACAGCCACGGTTCTATTGGAGTGGGTTAAAGGAACGCTAGTTCCCGATGAAACGTTTTTCGCCACATTAAACCACAACCCACAGCTGGAAATACGCGGCAGCTACAAAGGTGTCACTAAAAATATAATTCTGTTGCACGTCAAACTATTATTAATTGCAATTATTTTTTTTTTATATTTACAAATACAAATCTCATTAAATTATAGAATACCATGCATTTTGGAGTGAGCTTTTTTAGGTTATATTGTAATTTGACATTATAGTAGAACATTAACATTATTAATAGCAATGCACATTATTATTTATAAAATTTGTATCCGTTCAGGTCATCCTGACTCTCATCGTGTGGTCAAACCTTTCCTTGCCAGGTTTAAAAACTGGGGCAGAATCCCTTGTGCCGGACGTTTAGTTAGAGAAATTTGTATACTTTCAACAGGTAATATATATATATATATATATATATATATATATATATATATATATATATATATATATATATATATATATATGCATGATACACGTCATTGTATAAAATCAACAGATAATATATACCTTAGTTGCCAGGTTGCCAGTCACTGTCAACAGGCTTAGGCCTACCTTCCATCCTGTTTACAATGCTACTTACCATCATACTTAGCAACTCACCATGTAAAAATTCGAACTTTTAGGCCTCTAACCTTTTTTTAAGAATTTTTTCGTACACAAATTCAAACTTAACATGGGTTTTCTATAAGTTGGTTGAAATACAATTCTATTACAATGTCTTTATTAGTAGCTGTCAAGTTTTAAGTCAGCATGAAGTCTAAGCTTTCAGGCAAAAATAATTATTAATAAAATGTTGGCAGAATTGGCTTAAAATTACATAATTAATATAAAAATATTTTGATTTGCAGGTGATTTACCGTTGCTCTTCGATACAAAAGAACTTTTCGCCAACAAATTCTACCTGTTGGAAGATTTCGTATCTGTTGGTTGTTTAGAGGAAAAGTTGATGAACGACACGAGGGATGAATTTTTGGGTGTAAAGACATTTAACGTGTCTTATTATGAGAGCTTAGAATTTCTGAAAAATCTAGTGAAATAATTAAAAAAATGAATAGTGCAAATAGACGCGAGCGAGAAAAGTCTCAATGTATTTTAGAGGCCCATTAATTAATTTAAAAATCATGCACGGCGTAGTTACAATTAATATGGTTATAAAATCCTGTCTGTATGGTTTTTTCGGACTTTACTAAAGATTGGATGTATTTGATGTTTTAAATATTTTTGGTAACTAAATAAAAATTTAAAAAAGCAAAAACAATTTGGTTTTCACGTGTAATGGCGACATAAACAATGGCATCCTGCTATTCGATAGGCTGCCATAAATTTTATTGTACACATTGTAAGCTAAAAAAAGAAAAACTAGGTCATGGGGTTTGATTTGCACTGCTATTTAAAAATTTGATCTGCAAAGTTTTTTAAACAAAAAGCTATAAAGTGGGGCTGTCAGAAATCGATCACTGAGTTCCTGTACAGCCAATCGATGTTTATCTTACGAAAGTGAAACATCGGGTTATAATTTTGGCTTGATGAAAATAAATAGAAAGGCAGCCTTAAACTAAAAAAATATTTTCAAGTTCTCTGGATCTTCAACTTTTATAGCATTGATTCTAAAAATATTAAATTTCTGAATTAATTTTAGGCTTATGTTTTATTTTTTATTATTTTTACGGTCCTTAATTTAAAAAAAGCAAGCTTTTATTCCATGTCAACAACATCATGGTAGGATTCTCGTCAACTTGCTGGTGTCCATTGAATATAAAACAGTTTAATATCAGGGACATACTAAAACTTAAAAAAATAAGAGCACTTTATTCATTAAAAACATATGAATTAATTTTTCAACTTTATTAATTACAAATACCAGAGTTAGGTGAGTGTTATGATGTGAGAACTTGGGACAGGGTTGATGCTGCAAGTTGACGAACAATGTACGACGACGTTCCATTAGAGAGTACAGAACGACGTTGCTTTATTTCAATATTTTATTATGTCCAATACATACGGCTACATTGTCGACAGACAGAACGACTGTTTTTACAACCTCATGCGACGAAAACAAGACTTAGACTCCCTTCAACTCCTTTCCTAACAACCAGCACATACTCTCCTACGTCACATCCTTATTTACTTTGTCACGCATTCAGAATCTTTTATCAATCCCACTAAGCACATGCCCTCAAACCCTTAACATCTTTATTAAACACATTCAACTTAACACATACTCTAAAACTCATTCAATACACTAAAGTCCATTCACAACACGCTCTCTATCGGAACGTCGTTGCTATTTTCAATATTTTATTATGTCCAATACATACAGCTACATTGACGACAGACAGAACGACTACATCTACAATCTCACTCGATGAAAACAAGACTCAGACACCATTCAACAACCAGCACATACTCTCCTACGTCACTATCCTATTTACTTTGTGATAGATGTCACATAGCCTGCATTTGATACAACCTATGATTTAACTATACTCGTTTTAAAACATATGGTAAATTGTGATAGTCCATGGATTATTTCAAAATCTATATATTTAAACAACTCTAAGCAAGTTTTAGTTCTGCATTTAATTATAGATGTATGGTTTAAGTCAAAAGTTTACAATTATTAAGGACACATCTATATATTATATATATATATAATTCTCTCCGTATGGGCCAAGCGAGACATCACCACGAAAGGGCTAACATATATTACCTAACAATGTTGTAATCACAAAATCGAACTAGCAAACGGATACAGCTGTTACAGTCACATTGCACAGCAGATTAATTGTTAATAAAATACGACTCTGCCAATGTTATCCCTAATGTGATATTGAACACAACCGGTAGTGTGTTTCTAGTTGATTGCTACTTGTTCTTACTGAGAACAAGCAGTTGGTTTATTTTGGAGTTGTTTCTCCTTAATGAGCAGCTGTCCCTAGTTATAGAACATCAGCCGCCCGGGGGTTCGAACTCGGAGTTTTCGGTTCAACAATCATCAGCTTAACCGATCTGACTACGCCGACATCTGGAAGCAATGATTAACAGTTATTTTTTTAAAAACAATTCCGAGTGTCTGTTCTATTTCTCATATAGCAAGATTGGAATACTCGTCATTCACGTTTTGTTCAGTTGTACTCTATTCTGGCTACCCATGGCTGGTTGATAATTGAAGCTCTTGATTTGAATGTATGCCCCATTGGTTTTGTAAAATAAACTGTTCTTTCAGCTGTTAATAATACGGCATCAATAATCATTGGCGTTCATGCATCTCCATACTTGATAGTATTTTAGGCTGGTAATTCAGTCTTTTAAATAGATATACTTTGGTTTGTGAAATTGTTGCCCTTGATGTGACATTAAGTGTCATACAATCCTGATAATGAAGGGAACAGGTCATTTCCCCCCTGTCGATTACCCCCGGACATTTCCCCCCGGACATCCCCCCCCCCCCCGACATTACCCCCCAGAGTAATTACCCCCCTGTCAATTACCACCCACCCAGTAGGACATTATCCCCCCCCCCGGACAGGGTTAGAGTTAGGGTTAGAGGTAGGTTTAGGGTTAGGGTTAGGGTTAGGGTTAGGGTTAGGGCTAGGGCTAGGATTAGGATTAGGATTAGGATTAGGATTAGGATTAGGATTAGGATTAGGATTAGGATTAGGGCTAGGGTTAGGGTTAGGGTTAAGGTTAGAGTTAGGGTTAGGGTTGTGTCTAGCGTTGGTTTTGGTTTTGTGTGAAGTTTTAGGCTAAGGTAGATGCTTAGGTTTTGGTCTTTTTCTTAAGGTTTGGATTAAAGTAGTATATAGGTATAGAATTCTAGTTAAAGTTGGGATTCTAACTTCAGAGGGGGTGGGGGTAATTCCCGGGGGGGGGGGGGGTAATTGACAGGGGGGGGGTAATTGACAGGGGGGGTAATTGCTCCGGGGGTAAATACGGGGAGAATTTCCAGGGGGGTAATGTCCTGTAGCCATAATGAGTGGGTAAAGCTTATGTAGTAAAAAGCCGAGTTACTTCCAGGCACCTATTTGAGGGGGGGGGGGGGGTTAACCCTCCAGCTCCCCCCCCCCCCACACCTCCAAACGAAGTAAAATTTAAATGGTAAATTGATACTTTTATATGTGTCCAACCCCACCCCTCGGAAAATTCCGTCTACCCACCAACCCCCACCGCCCCGAATATTCAAGTGCTCCACTTGAAACATTTACAAGTGGCACTTAAGCCTTCAAAGCACGACAAAGGTAAGAATGTTTTGGCCGTTCGAATCAGTGCATTTCAGCTTGAACACAGTAAACCAACATAGCTACTATTGCATCCGGGTTTGGTTCAACTCAGGATCTATTCGTGATTAACTTCAATACCTTTATTTGGACTCAATTCTTCACATAACAGAGTAGCCCTCACCTTAAATGGTACTAACTAACTCCTTACAACCATTCACTCCAACTTTTATACCGCATTCGACCTCGGGATAACAATACATAAACACACCGGGATTAACAATAAACTCTGGGGTAAACCAGGGTTTCTTCCAGACTTTATTCTCCGGGGGGGGGACTTGAATTTTTCGGAAGGGGTGGGGGCGGTAAACATAACATTTTTCAAGTGGGGGGGGGGGGGCGGACACTGTTAAAAGTATATATTTTATATATAAATTTCATTTCGTTCGGGGGGGGGGGGGGGGCGGTAGACTTTCTTCGGGGCAGAGGCACAGCCCCCCCCCCCCCCCCCAACTCGAAGAGATGCCTGGAAGAAACTCTGGGGTAAACTCAACTCAAACACGCACTCTCAACTAGGGGGCGAAAAACAAACAAAAAACAAATACAAAAAAGTGGTGTTACAAGTATACTACAACCAAGAAAAGAGTAACTAAATAATACATTTATAAATCCAATTGTTCATAAATCCAAGACAAACAAACGAAAAAAACGAAAAAAAAACAAACAAATTATGTGGTATAAATTACAATTTACATCTCAGACTCCCGATCTAAAATTTCTGGACAAAAAATCAGCCAGTAGGTAATCCCTTCCTGGCATGTGTTCTATATTAAAGTTATATTCCTGTAACAATAAGGACCAGCGAGTTAGTCTGGCATTATTGAACCTACAGTTATGAAGGTATTTTAGAGCACGCTGGTCCGTCTGCAGTGCGAAGTTAGCGTTCTATAAATACAACGCTAGTTTGCCTCTGGTCCAGAGTATTGCTAGGCACTCTCTTTCTACAGTAGAGTACCGAGTCTCTCTCGGTTGGAGTTTTCTACTGATGTATTTTACTGGTCTTAGGACCCCATTTCTCATTTGCATCAAGGCTGCCCCGATACTTCGAGACGAGGCGTCGGTCCTGAGGATAAATTGCTCATTGATATTAGGTACAATAACGAATGGTTCTCAGTTCAGGTGTTTCTAGACCAGTCTTAAAGCACGGTTACATTCATCCAACCATACGACCTTTTCAGGTTTACTCTTTGCTTGCAAATCTGTCAGTATTGAGTTGGCCTCGCTGAATTCTCGTATAAATTTAGCATAATACCCTATAAAGCCCACTAATGATCCTACCTCTTTCTTTGTGGTGGGTATTGCTACGTTTAAAATTTTGTTTACTTTGTTTGTTTTTTTTTGGTGTCAAAAGCCCCCTCCCCACTACATGCCCTAGGAAATTAATTTGTACAAATCCTAGCTCTACTTTGGCAGGTCTTACTGTCAGGCCGGCACCCTTCACTCTATTGAACACCGCCTTTATTTCCATAAGGAGTTCCTCCCCTGTCTGTTTGTACATACAGATGTCATCAAAAAATGACACCACATTTTCCAAGTCTTTTAACACGACTCGCATCAATCTGACGAATGTGGCGGGTGCCGTGCATAGGCCAAAGAGCAGGTAATTAAAATGAAATAAGCCCCAGGTGTGACGAATGCGGTGAGTTTTTTGCTGTCATTTTGCATGGGGATCTGCCAATACCCTTTTGTGAGGTCGAGTTTGGTAAAATGTTTTGCCCTATATAGTTTGGCGAACAGCTCATCTGTATCTGGAATGGGTTCCGTGTCGTATATATATATATATATATATATATATATATATATATATATATATATATATATATATATATATATATATATATAC